CAACCCAATTTAAGATTCAAATTGATGAAGACAAATTTAAAATTTTAATTACTAAAATATTTCTAAGGACGAATAAAGTTAAGTTTACAATAGTAGGCGCATTGTATCAGCATCATCTTGCTTTTCTAATAGTATTATAAAAACTCTGAAACGGCAAGACTGGAGCAGTAGTACTCTAACTTCGTCCAACACCTCTCTTCCCTACTGAAACCATCAGACTGAAAAGGAATAATAATAATAATAAGGGGTAAATTAAGCTCCCTTAGGACCTCATCATCACTTGCTTTGATTTAACATCTCGTCGTTTTTACTTTTCTCAATGGCAAGACTTCATTGTTTTGAACATGAACATGAATGTCCACATGTTTACCACCTTTTTGATCATTTGCTTCCTAAGCATGAACTCTCTGTTTTGTTTTTCATTTTTGTAAGTTCCTTCGTAGAGTTTTCAGCTTTGTTCGTTCTTTCTTTTGTCAGGGAGGAAGGGGGATTCATTTTCAACTTTAATGGAGATTGGAAGGGGGAATTCTTCTTCAGATGTCATTGCCAGGTGAGCCAAAAACACCCATCATTTGTTTCTTAGTTAATTGGCTGAATTTTGAGAGAGTTCCTAGCTAGCTTCGCATTGAACCCTGTTTGCTCTGTTCTTTGATCGGAAAAAGTAAGTTCTTTTCTCAACTAAGTAAAACAGTAGGAGTAGGAACCAAGAAGAGCTCTATCCCAGTTGAAATTTGTTCTTAAGTCAGCACTTGCGCCCTGCATTAGAAAAGCTTTAATTCCTTCACTTTGTTTAATATGTTATAATTAATTTTTCAAAGGAAGTCGGCCATTAATGGCCTGTAGGACGTACTGTTGTTGCATACAGACATGGCAGGGAGGAGGTGCCAACGAGCAACGACGAGTACCCCAAGAAGGTGGTCTAGTCTTTTGCTAGAGACTCAAAATTTTCTAAAAGGACTTTCTTGCTAAAACATAGAAGTTTGGGGTCTAAGTTTTTCTATTTCTCCAATTCTAGTTCCTAACAGGTTTCAGTTATTTGTCTTTTTGGATCTGCTTCTGGGCTCAGTTTAAGTAGGAGACCAGCAGGAACGTGTCCATGGGCTAGCCATTTGGGTTCAACCACTTAACTTAATAAGCCCAACAAATATGCAATTTTAGAGGGCGACCGTAGCCTAGCAAAATGCATAAATAGCCTGGCTCCGGGGCACCTGACTATTAATCTAAGAAAAAAAAATGCATATATAGATCCAAGAGATCACTTTCGATCAATTTCTATCCTTGTTCTTGTTTTAGGACTTGCTTTTTTTTTTTTTTACACAGTTGAAGTTAGATATTTAGACTTCGTTTAATATAATTTTGATTTTGGGTTTTCACTTTTTGCTTTTTATATATTTAGTATATAATACTATATTTAAATTAAAATTTATAAATTTGAATTTTTATTATAAATCTTAATTTTTAAGTATAGTAATATATAAAAAAAATAAAAACTCAAAATTCAAAAACTAAAACTATATTAAGTAGAGCCTAAATTATTGTAGAAATTTGAATCTCTAATCTTGAATTCTTGATCTAAAATTAAGGTTTTGAGTACATTTAAA